GCCTTTCCCCAGTTCCAGCCGTGCCTTAATTAGGCCGTGGCCTCCGTGCGGCTCGGCTGCCAGCAAGCAGAGCGGAGCGTGGCCCCTCGCGAGGCAGCCGGCATCTCCGCGGCGGGCCCCCTCCCTCCTCGGCCTGCCCAGCGGGCGCAGGCAGGCAGAAGGCTCCCCCTCCCCCCCCCATGCGTCCCGCTGGCCGGGCCGGGAGCTGATCTTATCGCTGTGTTATTTTCCACTGGTTATAAATCTCCGCCGTGCGCATGTTTGTCTTTGCATCTTGGATGAAGGATTATGAAAAATGAGCACATCCTTCCGTGTCACCAAAGAAGGAGAAAGCGATGAAGGCCGAGGGAGAGCTTGGGGAGGCGGCGCCCGCGAGGACTCGGCCCGGACCCGTGGCGCTTCTCTGGCCCGGACCTGCTCGGAACGGAAGCTCGGAGCAGCACAGCAAGACGGAGGCCGCCCTGGGGCACCCCCCACCCCGCCTCTGCCGGAGCACAAAGCCCAGCTCAGCAGCTCCGGCTCTTGATCCCAGCTCAGCTCGGCCCTCCACACCCGTTTGCAATGCCAGGTCCTCATTAGAACCTGTGGAGTAAATACCATGCCTCTGGGCATGTGCCAAATGCCGGCTGCTGATAAAAAACAAAAAACTCGCACACACTTGGGATTCAGGGCCAGGAGCACCAGAGAGGGGCTTGCAAGATGAAGGGGCCAGCAAATGACTGTTTTGAAATGGAGAACTGATTCCGGTAACCCAACCCTCCCCCCCACACACACACAACTATAGGCAGGTATTCATTATATTGGTCTCCTGCCTTCTTCCCTGCAAGGAACCCAACGTGGCTGCCATAACCTTCCTGCTTCTCTCCATGTTATCTTCACAACAGCCCTGCAAGGTAGGCTAGGCTGAGTGACAGCAGCTGGCCCAACATTGCCCAGGGAGCTTCACAGGCAAGTGCGGACTAGAACCAGGCCCCAGGCCCCAGGCCCAGGCCCAGGCCCTGCCACGCCACCTCTCTACGATGTGCCCACTGCGGCTGGCCTGATGCAGCAAGGCGGCCACGAATGCTCGGGCCTCCCTGGCCGGCTGCCTGCACGACGCAGAACCAGAGACTCACAGAGGAGAGGAGACGGGACCATGAAGGCCCCCAGGTCCAACCCCCTCCTGTTGCAAGACACCAGTGCACACATCCCACCCAGAGGCTGCCCAGTTTTGCCTTGAATGGCCCCAATGTGGGAGAGCCCCCACCTCTCCGGGCAGCTGGTCCCACGGCCGTGTTGCTCTGGCAGCGAGGGGGCTTTTCCTGATGTCCAGCCAGCATCTGGGTTGCCGTAACTTGAACTGGTTATTCTGCATCCTGCACTCTGGCACCAGTGAGAAGAGATCCTGGCCTTCCTCTTTGGGACGCTTGGAGGTCCTTCTAGAGAGAGATCTTGCCCCCCCTTGGCCTCTCCTCTCCTCTCAAGGCTGAACATGCCCAGTTCTCTCTGTCTCTCCTCACAGGGCAGAGTTTCCAAGCCCTGGATCACTTTTGTTGCCCTCCGCTGGGCCCCTTCCAATTGCCTTCTCCTCGGCTCCCCGGGACAATACCCGCGAGTGGGGCTAGGCTTCCGGGGCGCTTTCTTTCAGGCTGGCACAGAGCGGGGCAGAGCAAGCTCCCGGGGCTCAGCCCCACACGCAGGAGAGGCGGTGGGACCTCGTGGGAAACAGGCGCTTTCCGGGTGACACGTCGGCCTCCTCGGCCGCCACGCCAGCAGCAGCATCCAGCCGTGTAAACGGGCCACACAGTTCAGCTGCCACGGCTAGCAGGACGCCCCTCCCCACATCCCCAGATGCGAGGGCCACCCGGTGCAGTCTTGGGCGCTGGGTTCCCCGAGGCTCCGTGCAAGCCCCACCCGCAACACCGCGAGGAGCAGCTGCTTCGTACGGCACGCGCACTGAAATCCGAGCAGACGCCACCACCGCAGATGCTGCCCTCCCAGTTCATCTCAAGTGCTGCGCCAGCAACGGCTCCTGCCGCTGGTGGCCTGCACGGACTTCGCAGCTCCGTGCCCTGGGCGCACGCTGCACTTCCATGACTGTGTCACTGGTCAGACAGCTGCCCAGAGGTAACGAGCGGCTGAGCCTCTCGCACGTCGTACGCCCTTACACGGCTCGCCAAAACCACACTGTCGAAATGCAGCACGTAAAAAGGACAGAAGAATGCTTCCTGGACATAGAAATAAGAAGCATTTCTAAAGAGTGCAAGGACCAGAGAAGGCACCATGGATGGGCCCACACACCTGGGGTTCCAAAAACGCAGGGACGGGACAGCGGAGGTGCGGGACAGGGCGAGTGGCGTGGAGCATGGGCTAAGCGCTCCTCCCTTTTCTCACAAGCGCTGGAACCCGGGGCCGCCCGTGCACTTGCCTGCAGGGAGGCGCAGGACAGACCCCAAGGAGCGCTCCGTTGGCCTCAGCAGTCCCAGGAGGCACAAGGGGGCCGGGCCGGATGGGCCGCAGGTCCGGTCCAGCTTTTCCCACCCCCTCCAGCAAAAGCACCCCTCACAAGGTGCTCGGAAGCCGCCCGCTGCCGGGCCAGGTTCTGTGCTCCAGCCCTCCGGCCCCTTTCACTCGCTGGAGCCGCGGCTCCAGAACCTGCAGCAGCTCCCGCTCCACCGGTGAGCGCCCCAGAGGCACTTGGCGAAGGAGTGGCGTGGAAGGCAGGCCACGGGGCGTTCCTGGCACTGGCAGGGCGAAAGCTGTGCGAGGCCCTGAGCAACGCCCGGCGCAAGCAAGTGCCGGTCCTCGTGCCGCTTCCCAACTGCCCAGGGGCCAGAGCACTGTGTGCGCCCACCTTGGACCAGGTGGCTTCCCCCGCGACTGCCAACCCCTCCCCCCGTCTCTGGGCGCGCCGCATCATCCGGTTCTGTCCCTCCGATGCCCCTGGCGAAACACGCTTGGCACGGCGTTCAGCCTTCACAACCTGCCGCGTGACGCACGGGGCAAGGGAAGACGCGTGCCCCGGAGTCGATGCCTCTGAGGCCACCCTGGCTGACGCGCGGAGCAGCTCTCGTGCGCCTCGCCCACCCGGAGCCCTGCGCGCGACTCCCAGGCTGCAAGGACGGGCTGTGGTGGCCCAGCAGAGAGAGCAGCGCGCTCTGCTCGTGATCAGAGGCATTCCCTTTGTGTTCTCTCGTCAGACGTTCCTGGGCTGAGCTCTGGCACCCCAAGAGACTCCGGGGTCCCAGCGCCACGGCCACATCCGTGCATCGCCACGATCCTCGTACTTGGCATGGAAGCCTCCCCCGTGAAGGGGCACGCGAATGCCACTGGGCGGTGGAGAGTTAACACGCCAGGCCAGCAACCGCCTCGCCTCCCACGCTGCTGACAGGAGGCCGCTGAGCACAGCCTCGGAAAGGTCTTCTGGCGTTTGTTTTCCCCGCGCCGTTCCTCCCCTCCTGGCCTCCCGCAGGTCACGGCCCCTGGGAGGCTGACGCTGGA